ACGATTACTACAATCTTATAACAAGGTGTTTGTTTATTCGTGGTAGAAACTAAATAAACTTCATAAACATTTGTTTCATAATCCTGGATATCACAGTGGATATGATGTGAAGTCAAGGCTAGAATAGAACTTTACAGACTGGTTTGTTTGTCACATTGGACATGAAGTAAAGTCAAGGCTACGGTAGCACTTTACAGACTTGTTTGTTTGTCACAGTAGACATGACGTAAAGTCAAGACTACGGTAGCACTTTACAGACTGGTTTGTTTGTCACAGTGGACATGACGTAAAGTCAAGGCGAGGGTAGCACTTTACAGACTTGTTTGTTTGTCACAGTGGATATGACGTGAAGTCAAGGTTAGGGTAGCACTTTACAGACTTGTTTGTTTGTCACATTGGACATGACGTAAAGTCAAGGCTAGGGTAGCACTTTACAGACTTGTTTGTTTGTCACAGTGGATATGATGTGAAGTCAAGGCTAAGGTAGAACTTTACAGACTTGTTTGTTTGTCACAGTGGACATGACGTAAAGTCAAGGCTAGAGTAGCACTTTACAGACTTGTTTGTTTGTCACAGTGGATATGATGTGAAGTCAAGGCTAGGGTAGAACTTTACTAGACTTGTTTGTTTGTAAAAGTGGATATGATGTGAAGTCAAGGCTAAGGTAGAACTTTACAGACTTGTTTGTTTGTCATAGTAGACATTAATCCAGCTCTAACCAGAACGTTTCTTGCTTTTCCTACCAATCGTGAGGTAATGAATCCGTGACCATGTGTGACGTTTAACTACGAATCACATAGATGAATAACATTATAAGGTATTCCAGTCTTGTGACCTAATACACAAATCACAGTGTGTCTCTACCTAGAAATATAAGTGGGCTTGTCTTTGTTTGGACTGTTCGACAGTTATGTTAATATATTTACACAGCATATAGTCTATAAACTTGTTTTGATAGCGCTAAAACGAACTCTTTTAAAATGTAATGTCATGCTAAGCCTTCTAATCGGCGTTTATAATACCTGTTCTAGCCTAACTCGTGCTAAGCATTCTAATCAGAGCGGGTATATAATATTTGTTTGGCCTAACTCGTGCTAAGCCTTCCTAGCCAGATTCATAATGCTAATTTAGCCTATCTTGTGCTAAGCCTTCTAATCAGAGCCTATATATAATACCTATTGTAGCCTATCTTGTGCTAAGCTTTCTTATTGGGGTTTATAATACCTGTTATAGTCTTTCTTGTGCTAAGCCTTCTTATCGATGTTTATAATGCCTAGTTTAGCCTATCTTGTGCTAAGTCTTCTTATCCGTTTATAAAACCAGGTTTAGACTTCCTTGTGCTAATCCTTCTAAAGAGAGTTTGCAGCCTAACCTAGCATTATCATCCTTAACGAAGTTGATAATCCATTATAGCTTGAAATCAACCTGTTCTAGTCTACCCTAGTACACAGGGCACCGTGGTCCAGACAATCTCGTGATCTGAGAAATAATTCAAGGTTGCCACGTTACCAAATAACTTTGAAGCAGAGAATCACAACATGCTACAGAAAGTGAGCCATACTTAGAAAATTCATGGGCGGTTGGGGAGGGGTGTCGACAGTGTCATATACTGTTCATTGTGGAGAGGGGGTGTTGACAGTGTCACATACTTTCCATTGTGGAGAGGGATGTCGACAGTGTCATATACTGTCCATTGTGGAGAGGGATGTCGACAGTGTCATATACTGTCCATTGTGGAGAGGGGTGTCAACAGTGTCATATACTGTCCATTGTGAAGGTGGGGTGTCGACAGTGTCATATACTGTCCATTGTGGAGAGGGGTGTCAACAGTGTCATATACTGTCCATTGTGGAGGTGGGGTGTCGACAGTGTCATATACTGTCCATTGTGGAGAGGGGTGTCGACAGTGTCATATACTGTCCATTGTGGAGGTGGGGTGTCGACAGTGTCATATACTGTCCATTGTGAGGAGGTGTCGACAGTGTCACATACTTTCCATTCTGGAGAGGGATGTCGACAGTGTCATATACTGTCCATTGTGGAGAGGGATGTCGACAGTGTCATATACTGTCCATTGTGGAGAGGGATGTCGACAGTGTCATATACTGTCCATTGTGGAGGTGGGGTGTCGACAGTGTCATATACTGTCCATTGTGGAGGGGGTGTCGACAGTGTCATACACTGTCCATTCTGGAGAGGGATGTCGACAGTGTCATATACTGTCCATTGTGGAGAGGGATGTCGACAGTGTCATATACTGTCCATTGTGGAGAGGGGTGTCGACAGTGTCATATACTGTCCATTGTGGAGAGGGTGTCGACAGTGTCATATACTGTCCATTGTGGAGAGGGGGTCAACAGTGTTACATACTGTCCATTGTGGAGAGGGATGTCAACAGTGTCATATACTGTCCATTGTGGAGGTGGGGTGTCGACAGTGTCACATACTGTCCATTGTGTCTTCTCCGCACTTCATTACTTTTACATTTTTTTGACGTAATTTTCTTGTTTGAAATATATTTACATGATTCACTTTCTGTTGTATTTTTTCCGAAAACATCTAGTTAGAGATTACTGACGGTAGAATTTGTAGCATTCCGAAATGCTCGTCAGCGCTGTTGCCTTTTATTCGTAATAACAAGTGTTAATCCCAGGCAGTGACTGAGATGTATTCTTTAATCCTAGAATAATCTGCATAGATATATAAATCTAGTGTTAGAGCAAACTAGAAGATCGTTTTGTTGTTATTTTGATGTCTTGGATTATTAGCTAAACATAAGTATAAAAGTCTAACGGCAGTACGAGCAAAATGCACATGACAGAAGTTAGGCTTATGTTTATCCTTAATGTAAATATAAAAGAAAAAATTGAAACGTAACCTATAACCTATATTTAAGAATCTTGAAAAATTAGGATAACTTGTATGGCTTTTTAACCCTGATTTATCAGACACTTAAAAGGTTCTCCAGAAATCACAGAAATCTTTAAAGGATCACATACTTTGCAGGAATCGAACACAATGTTCAAGTAACTTTGAAGAGGCTTACTATACAAAAACAGGGACTGTTTACTAATTAATCATAGAATAAAAATATTAGTCAAAAAAACAGGGACTGTACACTAATTAACCACAGAATAGAAATATTAGTCACAAAACAGGGACTGTACACTAATTAATCATAGAATAGAAATATTAGTCATAAAACAGGGACTGTACACTAATTAACCACAGAATAAAAAATATTAGTCAGAAAACAGGGACTGTACATAATTACCCACAGAATAGAAACATTAGTCACAAAACAGGGACTGTACACTAATTAACAACATAATAGAAATATTAGTCACAAAACAGGGATTGTACACTAATTAATCACAGAATAGAAAATATTAGTCACAAAGAAATATGGGTAAAATTGACTAAAAGATTGTAATAAAACATTGATAAGTGACCGTGACCACAGGTCTGACTACATTGAATTATTTTATCTTTTTCGAGATTATTTTTCTGCATCATTATATAAGTTCATCCATTTTTATAATCAAATCATATGAAGTAAATGTTAAAGTCAATCATATTTTTTTTAAAAGAAAGAAGTCGGTCAAGGTATAAAAAATATTGAAAAATCTTGTGTAAAAACTGTTCTGAACGTTCAGATATAATTATTGTTTCAAACTGATGAGACACGTTACATAATACAATAGGGAATGTAAGCCATCTCTGTACCCTAAACTCACCTAGTCATGAAACGAGTTATTGCTGTCATCTGTAGGATATTTGAAAAGTTGTTCAATTGGTCAAATGAAATTTCTTCTCTACCGGTAGCGGTTTCTCACATCATATATAAAACTACGAACGTTAGTGCGGTAAAAGAATACATCCACACAATGAAGTATCTTGAAAATCAGTCTACATACAAAACTCTAAATCATGTGTTCACACATTTGAAATCCTGCTAAAACCCTTACATTTACATGTTCACACCTTTGAAATCCTGCTAAAAACCGTAGACCAACGCTAACACACTTATTAAGATCACTCTGAAACGTGTTTATAGCTTTTAATTACATCTTCATCATCGTGTTCATAGCTTTAGCCACTAGTATGTCAACGTATTTACAGCCTTCATATATGAACATGTTTCTATATTTTATATATATATCAAATATATAAATATGTTCATATAGTTTATCATATATCAACACGCTTCTATATTTTATCATATATCAACATGTTCATATATTTTATCATATTTCAACATGTTCATATATTTTATCATATATCAACACATTCATATATTTTATCATATATCAACACATTCATATATTTTATCATATATCAACATGTTCATATATTTTATCATATATCGACATGTTCATATAGTTTATCATATATCAACATGTTCATATATTTTATCATATTTCAACATATTCATATATATTTATCATATATCAACATATATTTTATCTCATATCAACATGTTTATATATTTTATCATATATCAACATATATATTTATCTCATATCAACATGTTCATATATTTATCTCATATCAACATATTCATATGTTTTATCATATATCAACATATTCATATATTTTATCATATATCAACATATATTTTATCTCATATCAACATGTTCATATATTTATCATATATCAACATATATTTTATCTCATATCAACATGTTCATATATTTTATCATATATCAACATATATATTTATCATATATCAACACGTTCATATATTTTATCATATATCAACACGTTCATATATTTTTAACGCCTGTGTATCAGTATTATGTAGCTGGAACAATAAACTCTCTAACAGTTCGTAAGTATCTTGAGAACATATTCGTTTCTTTAACATTTTACTCAAACATGTTGGTACAAGAAGTATAAATGGATTCTTTTAAAACACGAACTTGGAAAGCCCTATAAGTTCGTGATATGGAAAGCTCTAGAGGTTCCTAACATGGAAAACTCTTGGTATTCGTGACCTGGAAAGCTCTAGGAGCTCGTGAAATGGAAAACTCTAGGAGCTCGTGATGTGAAAAGCTACAGGTGTTTGTGATGTATGATATTCATGACGTTTAAAGCTGAGAGCGTTCTTGATATGGGAGTCTGTGCAGGATAGGTTTAAAATGTTACTTCTATAGAGCTGAGTAACTATATAGAGAGATGTGTAAAAGCGAAGTAAGATGTTATGAAAACTGGTGACTTTCCGGAGGAGCTACCTGATTAGTGAGCTTTCCTGAGTTTTATACAAGGCTAAGATAATAAAAAATGGTTGAGAAGCAGACTTGTTTATATAAATACGTGTTTTTAAAAAGCTCACAAAAACGAGGTTGAGTTACCTCTATTTTATGGCTTTAATTCTTGTGTTTCTAAAGGGTCAGTGTTAATTACAGAAGTTAGCTGAAGCTGGCAAGGCGTACTGAGAAAATAGGCTGTATTTGAAAGTTGAAATATAACCTTTTATATCAAAGTAAAAATAACCTGACCAATGAAATATATTAAATTATATACCAATAATCACAAACCAAAGCACGAAAACTAAATTTAAAATAATTGTTTCTCACGTTACGAATATACGGACCAGAGCTCAAAATACACAACAGAATTCCTAACCTTATAACTTTTGTTTTTCCTTACAAAGTATAAATGAGAAAAAAAACAAACAGGAAAACCAAACATGTTCAGAAACATAAGAGATTGTACCACATGGTATGACAACTTAAAGTTACAATAATATATTTAGATAAACGACACCGGTGAGAGTTAAAAATGCGTGTATTTCAATTAGTGTTTTAAAATCTTCAAAAATAAATGCTAGTTATTCCTGAGATTCTAGTGATTTCCTGGTGGTGCAGCCTCAGACCACAAAACTTACTTTGACCACAAAAAGAGCTACTTACGAGGGTGAAATGGAAAGTGAGATGGATGGAATGCACCGATCTGAATGGGTTGAGAATAGAGAAGTGCTAATAATGTAAACATCTTTCAGTATATACAAAATTTAAAGCTTGCCTAAGAGACGTAATTTCAAAAAACATCACTAGATGGCGCCAACATTCTAAGTTTTCAAGTCTTTCACCTGCTTCCTACTTGAGGATAACTTTTCAGGGAGGATAACCGTAATGGTGCTGACGTCACAGTCAGAATCAGTGAGAAAACGAGTAACATCTGATTCTTCAGGACTCGAGTCGGTGTCCCCCTCGCTGATAACTAGGCATTCCATGTCTGTACTTGCTTCGGAACATGCTCCCACGGAGGTAACGGAAGTCTGCAGAGTGTTCTGGAAGTCCACTTGGTTCTCTGACTCAATCTGTATACTTGGACACAAATACGAATCACTCTCGGCGGATCTTCTCAGCTGCTCGGACACTCTCGTGTTCGTGTCGAGAGAATGGCACAGTTTGACCTTCTTTTTCAGCCGCTGACTGAGATCCGAGTTTCCACGTTGTATAGGTCGACTAGGATTCTTGGTCACGTGGCTATTAAGCTCATTTTTGTCAACTAGATTATACCTGAATTTTGGCTGCGAAGGTAGAATGGAGAAAGATGGAACTGAGGGCGGGACAGGACTTGGAGGGGGCGCCAACGTCATTATAGAGTATGATGGTGACAGGTTGTTAGATGTCACTGGTGGATTCCAACGTTGTCGGTCTTCTAAATACATTTCAATCAGTTGGTCTAGCTTACTCTCTATGTCTTCAATCTACAAAACAACCAACGTACATCTAGTTACATGTATTGTTGGTCTAGCTTACTCTCTATGTCTTCAATCTACAAAACAACCAACGTACATCTAGTTACATGTATTGTTGGACTAACTTACTCTCTATGTCTTCAATCTACAAAACAACCAACGTACGTCTAGTTACATGTATTGTTGGACTAACTTACTCTCTATGTCTTCAATCTACAAAACAACCAACGTACGTCTAGTTACATGTATTGTTGGACTAACTTACTCTCTATGTCTTCAATCTACAAAACAACCAATGTACATCTAGTTACATGTATTGTTGGTCTAGCTTACTCTCTATGTCTTCAATCTACAAAACAACCAACGTACATCTAGTTACATGAGTTGTTGGACTAATTTACTCTCTGTGTCTTCAATCTACAAAACAACCAACGTACATGAGTTGTTGAAGAGAAATACCAGTACTCAGTGTAATTATTGCGTAATTATTTACACTGTTATAAAAGTTATTGAATAACATTTTTACATTGAGTTTTTGAACGAAGCTAACATTTTATAAATTAGCAAACGTACTTCTAACTCTAAGTTTTTTTGTTTTGTTTTTTGCATACATGGTCTGTTAAAGCATATTTGAATCATATTGATCTCTGCACGAGCCTAAATGTATGGATGAAGGTCCTGAGTGAGGAGAATTTTCTTATGTTAAACCTATAGATGAGCCGTCGTCACGAGCTTATAGGCATGGATTAAGGTTCGGAAGCAGGATTTTTTTTATGTTAAACCTATAGGTACACCGTCTTCACGAGCCTAAGGGGGCGGATGAAGAATTATCAAGGAAAACCTTTTAACTCCGTTTTTTCTCAGTCCTGTTCGTGAATTGCAGAGAGAGAGAGAGTGAGAAAAAAAACAAACTAGAAGATTAAGATTTTACCTTGTTTTTTACCACTCTGTGGTTTCTATGGTTACTCACCGCTCTCTATTCTCACTTACTATATGGTTTCTATGGTCACTCACCGCTCTCTACTCTCACTTACTATGTGGTTTCTATGGTTACTCACCGCTCTGTACTGTCATTTACTATGTGGTTTCTCACCGCTCTGTACTCTCACTTACTATATGGTTTCTATGGTCACTCACCGCTCTCTTTACTTTCATTTATTATAAGGTTTCTATGGTTACTCACCGCTCTGTCTACTCTCACTTACTATATGGTTTCTATGGTCACTCACCGCTCTCTACTCTCACTTACTATGTGGTTTCTATGGTTACTCACCGCTCTCTACTCTCACTTACTATGTGGTTTCTATGGTTACCCACCGCTCTGTACTATCATTTACTATGTGGTTTCTATGGTTTCTCACCGCTCTCTCTACTTTCATTTATTATGTGGTTTCTATGGTCAGTCACCGCTCTCTCTACTTTCATTTACTATGTGGTTTCTATGGTTACTCACCGTTCTCTCTACTTTCATTTACTATGTGGTTTCTATGGTTACTCACCGTTCTCTCTACTTTCATTTATTATGTGATTTCTATGGTTACTCACCGCTCTCTCTACTTTCATTTATTATAAGGTTTCTATGGTTACTCACCGTTCTCTCTACTTTCATTTACTATGTGGTTTCTATGGTCACTCACCGTTCTCTCTACTTTCATTTATTATGTGGTTTCTATGGTTACTCACCGCTCTCTCTACTTTCATTTATTATAAGGTTTCTATGGTTACTCACCGTTCTCTCTACTTTCACTATTCTGGAAGCTAGACTAATCTTGGACTGGTAAACATCTTTTGCTCTTGATCCAGTTTTTCCAAGAATTAAATCTAACCTACAAAAAAATACTTCAATCAATCAACAATTTTCACCAAGGTACTAATTTTAAACATACCACAGTTTCGTGATTTTTCCATTCGAGTGATTCTAAAAGTTTGGTATCTTTTTTAACTGTATAAAGTCAAAACGATTTCGGTTCCTGGACAATGTTTCACTATTACATTTCTAATAATGTGTTATTCAGTTCTCACCTGCTAATCAAAACCTTAAAAGTTCTGGAAATCTCGAGAATGTGAAACCAAAATCAAGTAAAAGTTGAACGTTAAAACACCTTATCTCCGTGTGAAAGTGTTTCTCACCTTCCTTGCAGGTTTTTCACCCTCCCTAACAGATCCACGTGGCCAGACGAGTATTGCTCTATTACGTCTTTCACATCATATGGTTTTAAAGCTTCTTTAAACTTCCTCCTGGCGACGAAATATTTGATCTATAAATACACAATTAACTCAATTGATAAAAAAGAACGGTTTACTGATTTCGGGCTAAAATGCATCTAAAGTAAAACTGATTAACTCGGTGATAGCGATCTAAGCTAAACAGACCTGTGTTTAATTTGGCATCAGTCAGTGAGTACACAGTTACATGTTTAGAGCTAATGACGTGAAAATGGGTCAATATATTAAGTTTTAGATACTCTAAATCGTCTCAACGCATAGCTAGGCCTAGTAGTTAGAGTTAACTCATTTGCTGAAGAACAGTGGGAAATTCTAATATTCACCCAGCTAGTGTAACGTTTAGTCTGTTTGTTTGATATTTATCCAACAATAACCACGTTAAACATACTAACAACAGTTACCACGTTACCCGTACTAACAACATGTCGTTACTAGTACCGAAAAGAGTTGACCTCTATATCGTTACTAATACCGTAAAGAGTTGACCCCCATATCGTTACTAATGTAAAGAGTTGACCTCTTTATCGCTACTAATGTAAAGAGATTACCTCTATATCGTTACTTATAACACAAAGAGTTGACCTCTATATCGTTACTAATGCAAAGAGTTGACCTTCATATCGTTATTAATGCAAAGAGTTGACCTCCATATAGTTACTTATAACACAAAGAGTTGACCTCTATATCGTTACTAATACTATAAAGAGTTGACCTCTATATCGTTACTAATACCAAAGAGTTGACCTCTATATCGTTACTAATACTATAGAGAGTTGACCTCATATCGTTACTAATACCACAAAGAGTTGACCTCCATATAGTTACTTATACCACAAAGAGTTGACCTCTATATCTTTACTAATGTAAAGTGTTGATCTCTATATCGTTACTAATACCGTAATAAGTTGATCTCCACATCGTCACTAATACCGTAAAGAGTTGACCTCCATATAGTTACTTATACCACAAAGAGTTGACCTCTATATCTTTACTAATGTAAAGTGTTGATCTCTATATCGTTACTAATACCGTAATAAGTTGATCTCCACATCGTTACTAATACCATAAAGAGTTTACCTCTATATCGTTACTAATGTAAAGTGTTGACCTCCATATCGTTACTAATACCGTAAAGAGTTGCCTCCATATCATTACTAATGCAAAGAGTTGACCTCCATATAGTTGACCTCTATATCGTTACTAATACCGTAATAAGTTGACCTCCACATCGTTACTAATACCATAAAGAGTTTACCTCTATATCGTTACTAATGTAAAGTGTTGACCTCTATATCGTTACTAATACCACAAAGAGTTGACCTCCATATCGTTAGTAATGTCGTAAAGAGTTGACCTCTATATCGTTACTAATGCAAAGAGTTGACCTCCATATAGTTACTTATAACACAAAGAGTTGACCCCCATATCGTTACTAATTACTATAGAGAGTTGACCTTCATATCGCTACTATCGATAAACGATTGACCTCCATATAGTTACTTATACCACAAAGAGTTGACCTCTATATCTTTACTAATACCGTAAAGAGTTGCCCTCCATATCGTTACTATTACCGTAAAGAGTTGACCTCTATATCGTTACTAATGCTATAGAGAGTTGACCTCTATATCGTTACTAATACTATAGAGAGTTGGCCTTCATATCGTTACTTATACTATAGAGAGTTGACCTCTATATCGTTACTAATACTATAGAGAGTTGGCCTTCATATCGTTACTTATACTATAGAAAGTTGACCTCTATATCGTTACTAATACTATAGAGAGTTGAACTTCATATCGTACTAATAACGTTGAATATATAAATCATAAAAGCTACCAAGAAATATGGTTAGTTTGTTTCACTCACAACAAGTTAATTTGTTTATGACAAACGTTGAAAGACTTTAGGACATTAAGATTGGATCTGTATAAATATTAACATTCGTTATTTTACTGTTTTACCTTTCTCAGGGCTCTGATGGCGGTTTTATGCTGTTTGGTTAAGACGGTGACATTCGGTTCTTCTTTCTCGTCGTCTGAAAGTTGATGAAATGATTTATGAATGAAAATGTGACGTAAGACTTTATTTGGAAAGACCATTCAGCATCAAAAAATAAGTCATTGTTTCTCTCAAGAAAGGTCGACTATTTTAAGGTAATTAACTTAAGATATATCCGGTATCTAAATTCAACAATGTTGGTCTAGTGTTTTATAAATTTTATCTGCGAAATTTGGATGATAAAGTGGAACTAAAGGGGGATCGCTTGTTAGATTTGTTTATAGTTTGATTTAATTAACGTGGTGTCGGATATAGAGGTAAAAATACAGTTTACTAATAATGACTCCATTGTTTATGCTAAACTGCCTTAATAGGTGCATTCCATTCTGGCTTGAGTGACGTCATGCATATTCTTCCAACGCTTTACTTGAGATAAAATACCCAAGCTAGGTCCTGAAATTCAGAGCACAAGCAACGAGCATGAATGTTTAAGTAAGGTCTTGACAAACTTAGAAGCCTTACAGAGTATAGCGGGTAAATGAGAAACATAAGAATTATTAATTTAGAAACATGAACTTATAACTAAAACATGCTTTCAACCACAGTCCGTCAGTGTCTTCAGATAAGGTTCTTATAAAACATTGTTTAAAGAGAGACATAACAGAGATTCGAACCCGGGTCGTCTAGTGAGGAAATTAGTGAACTACCACCAGAGTTTACAGTTGCTTCAGACTGTATCTTATATTACATTTCAAACTATACTTGAAACCTGAAAACGCTAGCAGGCATAAGATAAAAAAGAACGGCCACCAATTGTTAACTCTTTTGTATTTAAACACTCAAACCTTCATAAGCATTCTAGCGACAACAATTCACATTTGTTAGTTGAACTTTCATAACATATTTCTTAGGTATAAAAGTTTTAGTTGAACCTTCATATTTTTTTAGAAAAGTAAGTAATGATATATTTATGCCTATCACACCTTTACCTTTAAATCTCTCACACAATTACCTTTAAATCTGTCACACCTTTACCTTTAAATCTCTCACACAATTACCTTTAAATCTGTCACACCTTTACCTTTAAATCTATCACACCTTTACCTTTAAATCTGTCACACCTTTACCTTTAAATCTGCCACACCTTTACCTTTAAATCTGTCACATCTTTACCTTTAAATCTGTCACACCTTTACATTTAAATCTGCCACACCTTTACCTTTAAATCTGCCACACCATTATATTTAAATCTGTCACACCTTTACCTTTAAATCTGTCACACCTTTACCTTTAAATCTGCCACACCTTTACCTTTAAATCTGTCACACCTTTACCTTTAAATCTGCCACACCTTTACCTTT